ACTTGATGGAGAAGGATATAGCACAACCTTTTCAGGCTGTGAATGGAAGATTACCAAAGGAGCACTCGTTATTGCTCGTGGTAAGAAGACCAGTACTCTCTATGTAACCTCAAATTTAGAGAATATCATTACAGTAGCAGATGCTGATGGAAAATCAAACATATGGCACCAAAGGCTTGGCCATTTGAGCGAGAAAGGGATGAAGACACTTTTGTCAAAGGGGAAGTTGCCGGATCTAAAGAATGTAGATGTCGGACTATGCGAGGATTGCATCTTTGGCAAACAAAAGAAAGTCAGCTTTGCAAAGACTGGTAAGACATCTAAGGCTGAAAAGTTAGAGTTGGTTCATACTGATGTATGGGGACCATCTCCAGTTCCATATCTTGCAGGCTCATTATATTATGTCACCTTCATCGATAATTCTACAAGGAATGTGTGAGTTTATTTTCTGAAGAAGAAATCAGAAGTCTTTGATACATTCAGAAAATGGAAGGCCATGGTGGAAAATGATACTGGTCTGAAAGTCAAGCGGTTGAGGTCTGACAATGGAGGAGAGTACAGAAATCATAGATTCAGAGAGTAGCAGAGCACATGAACATAACTCTGAATGAACGTGCCAGAAGCATGATGATATATATCGGATTGCCCAAATTTCTATGGGCTGAAGCTATTAACATTGCAGCTTACTTGATCAACCGTGGGCCCTCGGTTCCTTTGGATGGTAGAATACCAGAGGAAGTTTGGAGCAAGAAATAAATAAAACTTTCACACTTAAGAGTGTTTGGTTGTATTTCTTATGTACACATAAACTCTGCTGAAATAAGTAAACTTGATGTCAAGTCCAACAAATGTGTCTTTGTTGGTTATGGTGGTGATGAGTTTGGTTACCCGGTTTTGGGACTACGAAAATCGAAAGATTATCAGAAGCATAGATGTCGTTTTCAATGAGAATGTGATGTACAAAGACAGATCAACCATAGAATCAAGTAGCTCAAACATCGAAGCTGAAACAAATGAATTTTCTGAGTTCGAGTAGATTTCTGGAAATGATGTTCATATCAGTCCTGAAGCAGTTCAAGAAGAACCAGACACACCGGAACTAAGACGCTCCTCCAGAATTCCTAAACCAACCCAACGATATTCTCCTTTTTTGCACTACTTGTTGCTGACTGACAATGGTGAACCAGAGTGCTATGATGAAGCAATGGAAGTGGAGGATTCAGTCAAGTGGGAGTATTCCATGAAAGATGAGATGGACTCGCTTATGTCAAATCAGACGTGGGAATTAACTGAATTACCACCAGGCAAGAAAGCGCTCCACAACAAGTGGATTTACAGGATCAAAGAAGAGCATGATGGGAGCAAACACTACAAAGCAAGATTGGTTGTCAAAGGTTTTCAACAAAAAAAAGGTATTGACTATAATGAAATTTTCTCTCCGGTCGTGAAGCTGTCTACAATTAGACTGGTATTGAAAATTGTAACTGTAGAGAATTTACATCTTGAGCAGTTAGATGTAAAGACAGCTTTCCTTCATGGTGATTTGGAGGAAGAAATCTATATGAGGCAGCCAGAAGGCTTCATAGAGGCAGACAAGAAAAACCTGGTATACAGATTGAAGAAGAGCTTGTATGGTTTAAAACAAGCTCCTAGACAGTGGTACAAGAAGTTTGATAGCTTCATGGGTAGCAGTGGTTTTACCAGAGGCTAAGCAGATCATTGTTGTTATATCAAGAGGTTCGACAATAGCTTCATTATTTTATTGTTGTACGTTGATGGCATGCTCGTTGCAAGCTCAGACATGCAAGAGATTATAAACTTGAAGCAAAAAATTGTCGAAGCAGTTTGCAATGAAAGATCTGGGCGCTGCAAAGCAGATTCTTGGGATGAGGATCAAGAGAGACACAAAGTCGGGGACTTTGATATTATCACAGGCTGAGTACATCAACAAAGTACTCTCCAGGTTCAACATGCAAGATGCTAAACTAGTAAGTACACCTTTAGGTGTTCATTTCAGACTCTCCAAAGAACAGTCACCAAAAACGGAGGAAGAATGTGCACACATGATGAAAGTGCCGTATGCCTCAGCAATTGGAAGTCTGATGTATGCCATGGTTTGTACCAGACCAGATATTGCTCATGCAGTGGGAGCTTTTAGCAGGTACATGAATAATCCGGGCAAGGTACATTGGGAAGCAGTCAAATGGATCCTCAGATATCTGCAAGGTACCACAAACAAAGAACTTTGTTTCAAAGGTGGAGATACGATACTGACAGGCTATGTATATGCTGACTTAGCCGGAAATGTTGACATCAGAAGGAGCACTACAGGGTATGTCTATACTCTAGGAGGAACTGCAGTGAGTTGGGTTTCTCAACTACAGAAGATAGTTGCTCTCTCCACAACTGAAGCAGAATATGTCGCTGTTACGGAAGCCAGCAAGGAGATGGTCTGGCTCCAAAGTTTCTTGGAAGAGTTAGGCAAGAAACAAGAAAACAATGTCTTGTATTGCGACAGTAAAAGTGCTATCCATCTAGCAAAGAATCCGTCTTTTCATTCCAGGACGAAACACATACAATTGTGTTATCATTTTATTCGGTCTCTTCTGGAAGATGGGATTTTGAAACTTGAAAAGATTAGCGGAGCTCAAAATCCAGCAGACATGTTGACAAAGACAGTAACCATAGACAAACTGAAGTTGTGTTCAGCTTCAGTTGGCATGCTAGACTAACAAGACCAGAAATGTTGCTGCATTGATCGAGGTGTGAAGACAGATTAAAATCAGTCTTCAAGTGGGAGATTGTAGAAAGTATTGTTAAAAATGGTTTTCAGGTTTGGCAACCAACTTTGAAAATTTGATTTTCAAAGTTTGGTAAATGTTTCTTTGAAAATGATTTTCAAAGTTTGGTAAATGTTTCTTTGAAAAATAGTTTTTCAAAGTTTGGTAGATGTTTGTTGAAAAATGATAATGGGATAATCATAATTAATCCCTAGCTTTAGGGATTTACAAGATTAAGTACTTAAGTTTCAACTATAAATACCCTAGCTCATCTAGCCTCAAAACCATCCCAAAAATCATTTCTTTCTCCCAATACTAGAGAGTTTTCTTGTGAGTAGTGAGTGTTTTATAAACACCTGTAAATTTTCTCTCTTAGTAAAAGATCTGCAGCAGCCCGGAGACGTAATCACAATTGGCTGAACTCCGTTATCAATTTGGGTATTATTTTTCCGCTTTTATTTCGCATTTTCACTAATCTGGTTATAGGGAAATTACGTGTACTCGGTTTATTTCCCAACAATAAATTATCGAGTGCCCATTCACGCTTCCAACATCTTTCATCCATGATGACATTATATCACTTGAAATCTCAGATCCAATAGAATTATATTAAAGTTGTGTTGCACTATAGTTATTTGTTCATTTGAAATCATACAAAAAAAACAAAAAAAAACTAAACCTCACATAATCCTTCAGAATAATTATGTCTGTGAATTAAGATCATGTGGCAGATTTATCATTGATAGTTGCTGTTCAAGTTTTGCAGTGCGAATCTGCAGTCAAAGCATAGCAAATACTTACTTCAAATAAATTACAAATCAATGTATAGAACGGAGTTTATTAGCAATGAAAACTAGAAAACAAACATCTCCATCATTCTAAAATAAATAAAATGTATCAAAAGAAAAAGATAACAAGCGAAACATAATTGATTAGAAAAAATTCAATGCTCTAGTGATCCGAACTTCCACAAAACAATCACATGTTACCTTTAAAAATCTTGATATATCATCTGCTGCAAAATTTAATAACTTGGGATTAGGATAAACACAAGAATATGCACTCATAACGTCCAGCATTTCCTAATTAGTTGATGAATGACATTTTCTGAATATGTAAACAACACTATTAGTAACAATTGGCAAGAGTGTCCATCAGGGGCTGCATTGAAAAAGATGAATAAATCAATCTTTAAATAATAAGAAACTGATAGTAACAATTGTGGTGGCAAGAAAAACATTTATATCTCGTGTTAACAACAAAAAACATTTAACATTTCTCTCGACAGACCCTAAACAAAAGGGAATGTCCATGAATCAAAAGAGGACTCAGACAAGAAAACTCACTTCCAATAGAACCTGTAAAATATCCCAATAACCAAGCTGGCATAAAAGAAGGAATGGTTAGAACAAGAAAAGCATACAGAAAAATAATAAATTCTATCTAGATGTAATGGGAGCTCGTTCACATTTTTATCAATATGATTAGCAGTTGAGAGTAGAGAAACCGAAGGAAAAGCGAGGAAAAATAACCTTACCCCTTTGATTGCATTTTTTAATGCTTAGTGAATGGTCAATTTTTTTTTTATTTAACACGAGGTTAAGTTATGTTTTATCGCAATTGAATTTTGTTTTTCACATGTAACGTGTAAATGTTTGATTTGTTAATAAGTTATAGCCTGATATGTCTGTGATTTGTTGTTTTCTTGCATTGAAATTTAAGGTATAATAAGTAAATAATTTTTTGATTCAAGTACGTGTTTATGGTGTATTGTTTCGAGAGTTATCAATTTGGAAAATGTGTTGGATTTAAAATCTTAGTGACTTTTTATTGATTGATTTGGGTTATAATGTATTTAATATTTAGCTATCTACGAGAAAACTCAAATCCTAACCCTAACAACCATAATTGACGTGAAGCAAAATCACAAAAGTAAAAATAATTTAAAATAATTTTCCATCAATATCACTTAAATACAAACTTACCTTGGAAATAAAAGCAGCGGTGTGTGGATGGCGAACAGAAGCATTAAGCAGAAGGTTTATAAAATTGAACAGAAGAAAAGAGTTCGGACATGCAACAGTTAATCATTTGGTCTTGTTTATTGTAGCAACCAGATGATAAACAGGTGAAGAAGGAGAAAGGAAAAAAACAACAATGCTAAAACCAACTGAATTCTATGGAATACTACACTAGAAACCCCTAGAACTAAGAAAGCAACTTACGTCCTCCTGATTTGGAATATGAAAATTGCTGAGCTCTTGAACCATTATAATTAAATTCTCGTGCAGTTGGTCTAACTACCTACAGTTGAATGACAGAATTCATTTTAAAGCTGGATTTACAAATAAATTAGAAATTATGCAGATGCAATTATAAAAGAAAACTAACTCAAACTACATGATGGAAAGGCAATCCAAAGAGATTAAAGAATCAACTCATTAGCAGAATTGAGCACCGACAGTACCTTTTTCATTCCATGGTATGCCAAACCCTGGTTTTTAACAGCAGATTGCTGCAATGAATTACTTTGATAAGTATATCTTCTTTTTAATTCATTGATCTTTTGTTTCACTGCTGACTTCAATTCTTCTAGCTCATTCAAGGCATTGAGTAGTCTTTACAACAAAAATTGAAACCAAACTGCATATTCAAAACTTTCAAACATTATCAGATGTGTAAAGAGAAGCAGCTACCTTTTTTTCAAGTAGACCTTCTGGCTTTGTATAGATCTTTGATATTCTTATTAGCTCAAAAGATGTCAGCCTAGATAGCATTGAGTATTTCATAAAATCCAGATCATTTGGAGAAACAAGGTAATAATTCAATGTATTAAGAAATAACATGCAAACATAATGCTATTAAAGAAACAAGAAAAAAAATAATGAGGCAAGTTTTAAAGTATGACCAACCAAGTATTTAACAAAAGATGAGCAAGAATCTAATGCAACACTATTACTTGCAAGTCCAGTCAATAATGTACATTAATCAAACCTAAAGAACAAACCCCGATAGAAACTTGGATAAACTACGAGTTTAATACTTAAATTGTCAGATTTGGTCCGTTTTATCACCTAAACTTTCAATTTTTTCATAACCATACTTAACTTTTAGTTTTTATTTCATTTTAGTACCTTTGTTAAAAACTTAACATTAAGTTTTGAAAAAAAATGAAAGTTTAGGTACTAAAACGAACAAAAAATGATAGTTTAGGTACTAATACGTTAAATTTTTAATGGGTGGATACCAAAATGAAACAAAAATTAAACGTTAGGTATGATTTAAAAAAAATAAAGTTTAGGTACTAAACTGATAGTATAGGTGTTAGACGCGTAGGTTAACCTACATTCCAAATCCAAAGTAATCCTTTAAGCAAGTTCTAAATGATTTACTTTCAAGTCCCAAAAAATTAACAATTTGCATTACATACTAATTCAATGTCACTTTTTCAAACACATTTCACCCCGAACACTTCCTTAACCAACAAAAACCGACTTCAAACAATAAAAAAAAACATAAAAATCAACCACAAGAGAGGGAATTTACAGAGACCTTTCTTGACTTTGTGGCATTTAAAGCAATGAAAGTCCACCTTCAGCACCATTATCGTCACCTACAAAGCTTACCGCCATGTCAGAATGCATGATGATAGATCAAGCATTGACAAAAAAAGACAATAAATCAAACGAAAAGAAACATTAGCAGTTAAGAACAGTAGAAGGAAAGGAGATAAGACTTTGGAAACCTGCTCGGCCATAGCTTGGATCCCTCGCTGATCTGATATCGAAAACGAAAGTAGTAGAGCAGGCGAGAGGCTAACAATGGTTTATATATGTAATAAATTTAAATTGTATTTTAAGATGTTGGGTTAGAGACCACGTGGAGGATGATGATTGGAAGAGGATATTACGATTGTCGTTATTATGGTCTAAGGAGGGTCGAATGCAGCTTTTGCGCGTGATCTGGCGTTGATCAACACATTATGTTATGGGTACATCTCACCCTCCGGTTACTTAGAATCAAAATGATTCCATCACAAGCCTTTTTACCCAATTATTACCTTAAAAAATTAATTTCATTTTTAATAAGTACACTCGTACTCATGACATATACAATACTCGAACATGATATTTTAAAGAATAAAAACAAGTCATTTAACCACCGAAATCAAAATGTAACTTCATAGCTTGCTCGTTTCTGTGTGCGCATGATGGCTGTTTCCACACTTTTGGGAATTGATCAAAATGTTTTGGATATTCTAGTTAGGGTTTAGTGCATTAACGGAGGTATTTTATTCTTTGTTAACGTATTGTTAGAGAAGGAATAAATTGCGGAGACCATATCTTCAACAAATGGATATGCATCTGAGATGCGCAAGAAAGGCGGGGAGAAAAGTTGGTCCTTTGCAAATTCAAATCCTTTGGCTCTTGTTCCCATGTGCCATCCCGTGGGGATGCTTTGACTGTCATCCTTTAGTAAGCAAATTCGAAAATGATTGAACGATTGTAGAGAATGATGTATGTCATATAGAATAAGTGTAAAATGTTAAATCCATTTTATAAAATAAAGCTACTCAAAGTGCAGAGATCCAAAAGATGAGTGGTAAAATCAAAAGTTATAAAAATTAGGTGATCAAAATAAAAATATGATACAAGTTTAATGATTAAATATTTAATTTACCATTTCTTTAGCATTTTCGCTCTGTCTTCCAAATTTGAATTTGTTTGTTTTGTTTTAAACAAAGACTTAATACTAAAATACTTGAAAAGGCAGCCTTCCTATTGGCCCATTCATCTTCCCAAATCCATCATTAACTTTTTTTTCGTACCTTCTTATTCTGTTAATCTCTGTGGGAAAGTTTGAGTTTTCTTCGTTTTTGGAGATTTTTTTTTCCAGTGATGGCTTCTCAAGAATACCTGGACAAGATGCAGTACGCCAGAAATATCGGAATCTCTGGCACACTGATCTCATGAGCACCATTCAACGCGACCTTCCTTGTATTATTTTCTTCCACTGTTTTTCATTTTTCATCTTTGAAACTCTTATTGATCATTTCTTTTCTTTCCTTTTTGTATGTTTCTTCAGATTGCTGCTTTGCCTTCTGGTGGTAAGTAATTGTGGATCCGTTTTTTTATATATAAATAATATATATTTGTGTTGTAGATCTGATTGTCACTTGGTCGTCTGAATTGTGTGTTGTAGTATATCATTTTTCATTTATAATTAGCTGTTGTTAGGGTTTTGCTAATGACATTTTAGGTTAGATATTAAAGCAAATTTTAATTTAAAACTAAGATTATTTTATTATAATTTTAGTGGTCGAGAATAATTCGGTATTTAAGTTTATTTAATAATTAAATATTTATTTTAGGATTTTTTATGAAATAAGGTTAATTGGTGATTAATTATTTGACTACTCTTGATCTTTAGAATTATGATAGAATTATTTTGGAGAGATATTTTTTTTTGTTTGGATTTTGTGAGTGTTTTGGGATACCTCATGATTTGTTATAGATATAAGATTTTAGGATATTCATTTGTTTATACTCTTTGCGACCTCTATATTTATAGAAGATTATTATTCTTCATTTGTGGAGGTAAATAAAACTGAATCACGTCAAATATTCTCTTATTCGGACTTATTTTTCGTTGATAACACTTGGTTTTTTTTCACATTGAAGAATAGGAGGCTGTTGACTTGAGCGACTAGGGTTGACTCTGCCTGATTTCATGTTTCTGTTCTAAACTTGAATGCTAAAATGCCTTTCTAGGAATGCTTAATTTCAACCATGCACCTTGAGCTTGATAGTTTTACATTTTAATAATTTACTATGGGAGACTCACATACATAGTTTTATTAGCTTAAACCATCAAAGCATAATTCTCTAGCCAACTCATTGCTGATTGTTGTAGTGGACCATGTGCATCCTACATGCTTCGGGAACAAGCGCTGTATAATAACATGTCAAGGTAATTGATCCATTTGATTCGTCTTTGAAGTACAATTCAGTTATGTAACATCTTGTTTTCGTTGTAGGTATACATGTTGTGCTGGTTACATGCCATGTAGCGGTAGGTGTGGTGAGAGTAAATGTCCCGAGTTTTGCCTTTGCACTGAGGTAGGAAAGGAAGCTTGTTTATGTGGTCTGTATTGCTTTTTTCTGTTGCTTCAACTCGTGCTTTTGTTTTAAACAGATATCAATCTTGTAATCATAATTACTGTTTTTTGAGTGGCGATAGTAAAGTCCTTACACTGCTTTCTTTTTATTAATTTCATTGTCATGTGTTATAATTTCCAGGTTTTCCTCTGCTTTGGAAACTCAGTGGCCTCTACTCGATTCCTGTTGCAGGATGAATTCAACATTCAAACAACAAAATGTGACAATTGCATCATTGTAATCAATCTGTTCCTACATTTATTTATTTGGATAAGCTATATGTTTAGTACCTAAACTATTACTTTTATTTTGTTTTGGTATCTAAATTTTATTTAAAAAAAATCATATATAATGTTTAGTTTAGGTTTAATTTTGGTACCCGTCGTTAGAAACTTAACGGTGATGTTGATTTGTTACCATAAGGTAATGCCACATTATCATTGAAAAAAATATAAAAATATCACCTTAGTAGTTCTATTAATTTTTTAACGGCGAAGTTCTAAATTGAAACCTAAACTAAATGTTAGGTATGATTTTGAAAAAAAAAATTTGGATACCAAAACAGAACAAAACTGATAATTTAGATACTAAACGTGTAGTTTACCCTTTTTTATATGTAACTATGTTTGCACTTCCTGACTATTGATTAAACATATCCTGCCATTTGATTTATAGGGTTTCATGTTCTGCTTGCAACAAATTGCCTGCATATTTTCCATAGTTGCAATGATCGTTGGAAGCGATGAGATTCAAGAGGCGTCACAGTTACTGAGTTGCTTGTCTGATATGGTTTACTGCACGTAAAGTCTTACATTCCATTCAGCTCTATCAATCTCTTTGCTGGTTTTCTTAAATATACTATACTGAAAGCGTATTTTTATTTTTACTTTCTGCAGGGTCTGTGCATGTATGCAGGTAATGAACTGCTTCTACCACAAGCAAACGGGAAACTTCGTTATCCTTATTCCGAATCATTAATCTTAAAATTTTTCTTTGATTACAGACGCAACATAAGGTTGAAATGGACAAACGAGATGGCAAGTTCGGTCCACAACCGATGGCAGTACCCCCGGTTCAGCAGATGTCCCGCATCGATCAAGCAATTCCTCCTGCTGGCTATCCACCAGCAGCATATGGACAGCCTTATCAAGCTCAAGGCTACCCGCCACCTGCGTATCCTCCTGCTCAGTATCCTCCACCGGGTTATCCACCATCTGGTTATTCTAGGTAAATCTTTCTCTGGATTACTGAGACATGGATGGAGCTGGCATTCATTATAAAAGTTAGATTTGCATGATGTTGCGGTTTATATAGTGATATACTTATGTATGATTTTCTTTTCCTGTGATTTGAGCAGCCAAAGATTAAAAAATATATATACTACCATGTGTGTTCTCATTAATTTTTCCTTTCATTTTCATGAACTCTGGTGTTTTTGAAAATTTGTAAAGTTTAGACTTTCGGAACTGTTCATATTGAGCTTGACTTTATCAACGACCTTTGATTTGAATGCATATAAAATAAAACTATTTATTATTTCGTGGTAAAAGTCATTGTCTCATAAATAATTTTATACGGATT